TTCGAAAGTTGGCCGTGAAGCACAGTGGCTTCATCGATCAAAAATTCTTCGGCTATTTGTTTGACAAACGCGTTTTGGAGCTCGAAACTTTGTCGATCAAGTGCAAAGATGGGATTTTCCATGATAAAGTGAACAAATCGGATCATGTTGTTTTTGATGAATTGAAAAGTTTTTCGTTAGAAAGTGGCACACCGTATTTGTACTCGCGAGGTCCACCGCCATTGATATTCAATCAACTTGATAACTTGAAATTGAAGGGATTTTGCCGATTGTCCACAGATTGGATTCAATTTATCATCCGGAACAAAAACCTCACCAAATTGAAACTCTACTGCACTCCATTCTTTTGCTATCATTACTCTTGGCCGGCACCTGAAGTGACCAACGAACAATTTCTGAAAATCGCCAAAACAATGACCAATTTGAAATTGCTAGTGATTGACGCTAATCTCATTGAAATCCAATATTTTATACCGGAATTTTTGTCCGAATTCAAATCATTAATGGAATTACGCATTTTTTGGGACGATCAATTAGATACCAAAATTCCAGTCAAAAAAGTACTCGAAGAAAAGGCCATGGAAGTGCACTATGAATGGGACTTTTATACACGATCACGACGTGCCGCTTTTATTCGGAAACATTCCAAACATGATTTTTCTGATTTTTTCAAAGCATTTTGATTTTAAATCCATTCCTATGTCTCATATTCGGTCTTCTCATTCGAAACTTTTAACTTTGTTTCAAAATTCAAAACTTGAACAGATGACAAAACGAGCCGTCAAAGGGATGCTACTAAATATTCAAACGTTTCAAAATGCACTCACCAATTATTCGAAAATTCGCTAAAGATTTTAAGTAGAATAACAAACAACGAAACAACAAAGAACAGTTGAGATCATAACATAAGAATCAATCTAACAGCTGAAACTAGGGAAAACATAAATTTCATTTTTTTAGTTTGAAAATAGAAATTGAAACATAATTTTGTATGTATTGTAATTCAATTTTGGTTTGATACTCATCATTTTATTACGAAAACATTAAAATTAATTTCATTTTTTCATTGATTCCAATGTAAATTAGTTCGAACGATTAAAAAACGATCATTTCGAATTAACAAAAATTAAGTTAAAAAAAAAACAATTTCAAAATAAAATGACTGCGTATAATTCTCATTTTAAAGGTATTTGATCATATTTTATTCACATACAATTAAAATGGAATAACAATTTGCAGTAGAATAAATTTTTTGCTGAATTCGAATGACAAAAATGAGAAGATAAAAATTAGGAAATAAAATTCAAAAAAAAATCATTAGGAAAAAGAAATATTTTCTAATGTTTTACCAGCCTTAACACATATTTAGTCAATTAAATTGAAAATTATCATTAGAAAAATATTGAAAAATATATACCATTTTGTTCAAAATAAATTGTCCTATTTGAATGAAGTGTCTGTGATTAAGACTTAATAGCGAATACAAACAATGCATTGATCAAAATGGGCCTTACGAAGGCAATATATTCCATTGATTGGATCTTTTTATATAAAGGCAAAAACTTGATAATGGCAAATTAGGGTCTGTGATTGATTTGATGGGTAAAAAAATGATCTTGTCAGGTCGATTAAAAATAAATATGAAATCATTTGATCGCTGCAAATTGAAATACTTGAAAAAATTAAAAATTCAACAGACTTTTTTAAAATGCAACTCAATGAAATGGAATATACACCTCTGTCAGACCAGAAAAAACGTACATCCGTGCAAAAATGTACGTGTGACATTTGGGAATAAGTAATTTATTACAAAAATTTTAACGATTTTTCTTCTATTTTTTATTTTTTTTAAAACTCTAAAAAGAACATTTTCTATTCAGAATTGTTACTTTATCAGAACTTCCATGCCAACCAAAACTGTCCACTTCCGTGTCAATACTTTATTTCATAATTGAATCTGTTTTGAAAGGATTAAAATCAATCATGAAAAACATCGACACAATCTGAGTGTGTTCTTTAAATCAGAGCGGGTCGAAAAACCGAACTTTATATGGACGAACAAGTGGAAAGTTACACGAACTTCCAAAACTCTAACAAAATCCAAGGTCAAATTCGAATTTTTGAATTTTAATCAACGCACACTGATTAACTTAAATGCAAAACTGTTGAAATCAAGTGAATAAAACGTTTGAACTAATTAAATTTTCAAAAAGCATTGAATAAGACGAACAACTTCTGAAAATGCGACTTTTGCAACGGTGCGATTAAGTTATTTTCTCCTCAACATTTCAACTTCATTGACAGAATCGACAAATTAAGGTGGTAATCGAAAGAGTTTTGATTATTCACAAAAATGTCCAAACAATCAGACCGAAAATATCTGTCAAAAACCATAAAACAGTAATATTTCAACGACTAAAATACTTCATATATATGAAATGGATAAATAAATTTATCCAAGGAATAATTTATTATTCAGCATTTGTGTAACGATGACAATTGATTTGAATTGGCTTCACTTTCAATTAATTGTATTGAACTCACTCACCGCGCTGAGAGTCGATCTCAACTGTCACTTGACCGTACCAACTTTGTTTGCACATCGATTTCACTGTCTGCACATGTTTTGTTTACGGTTCTTCCAATTGGTTTCAAGTATTTTGCAATAAAAATCGCTTTCGAATCACAATTTTCCCAAATTTTTTCGTCAAAATTCGGTTTTCCATCATGAAATATGCAAAGAAAGTGAAAAACAGTGCAAATCAGATGAATAACAATCGGAAAACACAAGACCAAGCCGAACCAAGTGTCATTCATTCCAAACAGAAAAAATTGCTGCGGTATAGTTTCAGCCAAATTTTCGCTGCAGGAAAAGTAAGTAGATAATTAGTTCATATGAAAGTGAATGAATGGTTTTAAAGGAGCAAAATATTAAATGGCTTTATTTGAATACAGTTCAGATGCTTGGTAAATCCGCTAACCACATCGGATCCATCGATGAACACAATTGGTTTGAACGGAATCTATGACAAGTTCGACGAAGACAACTACACACACTTTGAAGAGTTCATGGACGATATCTTTGCAGTGGCTCGTGAATATTCTACTCATTTGCCAAGTAAGTGGCCTGAGCTGTGGCATTTTGATACATTTTGGTGGTTGATTTGATTAAAATGGACAAAAGTCGTATCCAATTTTGGTTTAATGGATTTTTTGTTTAACTTTGGACTAAGTCTTTGGCGTTTAATTTGGTTGAAGTTATGACTTTGAAGTTTTATGGTTTTTTGTTTGTTTGCAATTTTATGGAAAATGCCATAATGCATCAGGTTTCATGCATAAATTACTCAATTTCTTAGTGAAATTGACTCGAAATACTGATGTTGACTAATTGAATCATTGACATTTATTCATGTGTTTCTGTAGCCGACATCAATGTGCAGCACGCAGTCCATTCACTCCTAGAACAGTGTCAACGCGATGTCAAAAGTATCAAAACATGCACCGATTGTTTTGCGTATTGGATGCATGATCATGACGATTATTTCACTCGTGTGTGTACCACTCCGCATTTGCTGGTCTATGCCAAAATGACCGGCTACCCAAATTGGCCGGCTAAGTTGATGTCAATCGATGGATGTAAGGCGAACGTTGAATTTTTTGGTGATCACACACAGAACGACGTATCACTTGCAAATTGTTTCCTGTATTCGGAACAGTTTCAAGGCAAATCTCCGAAGAATTTTGAACAATTGAAAGAGGACCTCGACAAAGCTACCAAGGTAATTTGACTCATGGGTTTCAATGGAAATTTCAAAATATCCCTATGTTTTTTTTTGGTGGAAAGTTTATATAATCGTTTCATTCGAAAATTCATTTTGTCCACAGGAACTCAAGCTTCACATCGAAAAAGTTAAAAACAAGTTTGGCTCATTCCATCCGGCTAAAGGCAAAGTGGCTTTGAAAGGTCGTGACTTGAAGCAGGAACTGATGAGCATGTTCCCGGGCGCTTTTATGGAGAAAGCAACACCACCAGTCTCTGAAGAGTCATCATCGGACGAAGCCGACGAGAATGACGAGGGCAATGGTAGCCATGACAAGTCTCAAGAGGAAGAAGAAGAAGAAGAAGAAGAAGAAGGAGACGATAATTATGCTGAATCGATGGCTCAAGCAGTTATTGACCATATCGTTGAATCAACGACTGATAATTATGAAGTGACTACAGTCGTGTCATCGCTTGAGCTCACATCAGAAGCGGCTCTGGCAGAGAGAAGATCAAACAAATCAGATAGTTCCAAAGAACACTCAGCTGAGGTCGAAGAAAATGGCGACAA